GTTCAAAGTATAGAAAATCTAGGTATGAATTCATCCTTATTCATTTAAAGAAATCCACATTTCCTAGTTATGCCCAGGAGCAGTGGACAGTATCTGGATTGTGGTCTCTAGTATCATTTGCCACTAAAAGGAACCACCGCTGCTTCCTGAGTAAGGGCTAGAAATGGTGCCAGATGAACCCAGAACCGTATTCCAAGACAGAGCAAGGAAGTGGACGGGAGCCTTTGTGGAACAAGTTACACATCAAAAGCCTAAGTAAAATAAAGTGCTAGGTAGTTCTCTTTCATGCTGAATTCTGAAAGAATAATGGCTGAAGCCATGGGAGAAAGTGTCATCCTGAGAGAGGAAGGGGGTACTGGGCACATTCAGTTCTATCCCTAGAATCTACAGCCAGAGGCTATAAGGGGGGCAAGGGGAGTATCATCAGTATGCAGTGTCACAATCCAGCTATTAGAGAACCTGAGTAAGAAAATGAGCTAAAGTGGCTTAGAGCCACTTGTTAAATGTACATAAATGTGTGTGCATGGATGTCCTCAGGTATAAAGACAAAGGGCACATAACTACTTGGTGTCCACTCATTTGAGGGCCTGCTGTGCCAAAGCCAAGGTGAACAAGCAGGTGCATTGTAGAAAGCCTCAGAAACCCAGAACCTTAAGGAAAATGAGGCATGTTCTAACCAGCTTACAGAAATTAGGTCAGCCAACTGTGGGGGGTGTGCACCTGTAAACACAATGACTGAGGAGGCTGAATCAGTACCACAAGATCCAGCCAGCCTTGGCAACTTAGCATGACCATGTCTCAAAATAAATAGGACTGGGGATGTGGTAAAGGGCCCTTGGGTTCAGTCTCCAGTACCAAAAAAGAAAAATTAGGCCAAAGCCCCAAAATATCTGGGTACATGACATGATTATCATTAATGTAAGAGAGTGTTATCTCTCGTTTAATTTCTTGACTTCTGGAAAGTTTAGACCAGACCTGGTTAGGAGGAATTGAATCCGAGATAGGTGAGGAGATAGATGTCTGCACCTGAGGAAATGGCCTGCCTCTTACTGTTACAGAGGGCTTGGGTAGTGCCCAACCTTTATGGCAACACCCCACCTCCAAGTCACAGGGACTGTGGAAAGGACTTGTAAGGCACAGTAGCTTAGAGCAGCTCAGCCCAAGGGCTGGTGTGACTCAGCACAGTTCCTTTGTGAATGTGTCAGGGCAACATCTCTGTCCTGAACGCATCCACTTGTGCGTTTATATGGGAACATGTCTTTAATCCTTAATTTCTTCCTGGTTAACTTCCCTTCTCAGTCAGCCTTGCCTTGCTGCTGCTGAGAGATACCAGAAAAGTACTGAGAATCTGGCCTTGAACCTCCTCTTTTGCTTGTTTGGCCTTGGGCAAGCCAATAACTTCTCAGCCATACTTTTCTCAAGTGAAGTGTGGGCCGGGGTGAAGACAAAGTGATGTGAGCCTCTTCTCAGCATCTGCTTTCCCTTGAATGGATGAACTACCCAGACTGCAGAACAGCACTCCTTTGTGCCTCTTAGGATGGAAGACTGTAGTTGTGGCACTCCAGGCTGGTGGAGCCAGGAACCTGCTGGGTGGGGCTGAGGGTTGCTGCAGCGACTGAGGGTCTCTGCTGGAAAACACATTCAGCCACAAAATTTTAGTTGTTAATGTTTCCAGAAGAGAAAGGGAGGCCGAGATATGGGGAGAGGATAAATATATATTTCAGAAGAGAAAATTAGAAGCCACTTGAATTCAGTAAATGATGGGAAAAAAAAAAAAAACTCACTTGCAGGTTAAGGTGAATGCCAAAGCCACAGGATAGGCTAATTTATTTTAAGTATTTGAAAAAATGTCTCAATAGATACCTTGTAAATAAGCGAGAAAGGCAAAAGGCAAACAGGACAGGACGACAGTGTGGAAGCTGACGGGATCTATACCTGTGCCCTGTGTGCTGAATAATGGATCAAGGTCCACAGGGTATAAGTCTCAGGTGACAATAAAAGGCCTTGTCCTTGCAAGTGAGGTAAAAGCCCACGAGGAAAGCTTACCATCTCCGAGGGACGAATGCTCCCATTCGCTGGATCAGGAATTGAAGAGCTGGGTGGTCCTATGAAAGGAGAGGAGTTCTTTTAGACCCTGAACTGCATAAGACACAGGCCTGGGTGGGAGGTTCGTCTGACGGCATAAGCAGGAAGGACCCAGGACAGTGACCCCCAAACTGCGCATTTCCCAATATGGGAAGTCCATGCTAAAGGCACACTTTAAGCTGCACTGCAGAATTAGTGCCCAGAGAGAAGGCCCCTTGTTTTGTGTTTAAGGACGCAGTCTAGGAGGCGCGGGTCAAGGGAGACCTCGATGCTCTTACCTGAGACCCCGGGCTCCTCCGCTGCCTTTCGGGCTAGCTGTAGTCACCTGTGCAAAGGCGGAGGCGCACGCTTCACCAACCTCCGGAAGAGGGCGGTGGAACTGAAAAGCGCGAGTACGTGGAAATTTGTATCCTTCCCTCCTAAGCTTTCAGCGTTGGCGTCCTTGGTTGTCGCGTTCACCCTTTTCTCTCTCTCAACGTGATGTCATCAACTCAACAGAAGCCCTTGGCCATCACTTCCCATCCCGGGTCCGAGCGCGATCCGGAAGCCCGGGTCCGGCTGGGCGGACGCCCCGGCGTTGCCTGGCAACGGGGTCGCGAAGGATTGGTCGCATTGGGACACATGACTCGAGGAACGACACTTCCGGCACTCCCGGAAGTGTCGTGCGCGGCGTGGGCGCCAGGCTCCGCCCCCAGCAGAGGCGGAAGTGGAGCCGCCCGAGTCTTGCCGCGTTGCCGCCGGTTCCAGGGTCCATGGCCGCCTACTCCTATCGCCCTGGCCCGGGTTCCGGCCCGGGCCCAGCTGCGGGCGCGGCGTTGCCGGACCAGAGCTTCCTGTGGAACGTCTTCCAGCGGTGAGACGGGGCCGCCCGGGCTTCTTTCTTCAGCCTCCTCCCTCACCTTCCTCGCCCTCCTCCCTCGACCTACCCGGGCTCCTCTCCTGTCACGCCCTCCTCCTTCGGCGTCCTCCCCGGCCCCTCTCCCTCCTCGCCCCTCCGGGTGCGCTGGGCCCGTCACGAGATGCAGAGCAGAGGGCGCAGGGCGGCTCCTGCTCGGTTCGAGGAAGGCAGTAACAGGCCAGACCCTGCACTGTGGAAGAGGGTAGCCGCCCAGCAAGGGCAGGTAGACCTGCGTCCCTGGAGCAGGTGACGGTTGGCAGCGTCCTAAGTCCCAGTTGTCCTTTTGAACAAATGACCGTAATTCGAGTGACTCATTGCCTAGGAATGATTTGACTGCCCCAGAGAATCTTTCAGCGTTTGTGAAAGACAAACTGGTGCAGGTGTGAATTCAGACCCGGATGCCTGACCCTTAGGGTCTTGGGGAAAATTTCTTAATCCCCCGCGGGCATGTGGTGTGTGACATTCTGACAGCCAAGTGAAAGGTCTACCTGAGGAATGTCCCAGAACTAATGTAAGGTAATGGACAGATAGTTTGTTTCTGCCATATTTTGCTTTTCCTGCACATTTCATCACCAACTTTCCTGGTCTTCTTGATTTTGTAGAGTTGATAAAGACAGGAGTGGGGTGATATCGGACAGTGAGCTTCAGCAGGCGCTATCCAATGGTGAGTCAAAGCCTGATCCTCTCACAGTAAGCAATTTCCCTTCTGGAATTTATTTTTCCAAGTACAGAGGAGTCATTCAGACTGAATTACTATAACCTAAACATGGAAGAGGTGTTTCTGACTTGCCAGCTGGTGGCTTCCTGGTTTTTATCACCGCTTCTGCTCCGCACACCACCAAGTTGATGCAGGGGAGCATAGAGACAGGCTTTCTGGAAACAGCAGCCAGGGTGTTGCTTCTGAGTGAGGGGTGGGAAGTGTAGCTTTGTGCAACAGAAATCCTTCAGGTGTCTTGAAGGTCCTTGAATGTTCTCAGAATCTTAGTGACTCCTCTGGAAAGGGTCATCGAGAGTACTAGGTAATTATTGAAGAATTTGGAGATGGTCTACATAGCACTTTTGCTTAGGAACTGCTGAAACTCTAGGTCCAAATTGGGAAGTGAAGAAATTGGAGGTACTGGCAGCAGAATCATGACAGATGTTCTTAACTGTGTGGGGAATACTATGCATTTAGGGGCTGGGAGGATGGTGGCCCTTGTATAGGGTGTGTTGGGAACTCTGGAGTCATTCTTGATGACTGAAGTGTGGTAGCTTTGGAGGCATTTTTCTTTGTTAAATGCCTTTCATAATTCCTCAGATACGGCCAACTTTTCTGATTAATATAGTTAAGGCTTGCTGTTATGGTTTAGATTTGGAATGTCCCCCAAAAGCTCATGTGTTAGTGCAGCAAATGTTCAGAGGTACAGTGATTGGATCATGAAGGCTGTGACCTCATCAATGCATTAATCCATGTGATGAATTAATAATTGGAATGGATTCCTGGGTGATGGTAAAAACTATAGGCAGGTGGGGTGTAGCTGAAGGAAATAGGGTGCTGGTGTTATGCCCTTCCCCACATCTGTTCCTGACCCTTTCCTATCTATCTTTGCTTCCCCTCTGCTATGAGCTGAGCAGCTTTCCTCCACCATGCACTTTCACATGATACTCTGCCTCATCTCAGACCCATAGCAATGGAGTCAGTCAATCATGGATTATAAACCTCTGAAACTTTCAGCCAAAATAAACCTTTCCTACCCTAAGTTGTTCTTCCTGGTAGGTGTTTTGGTCACTGGTAACTAACACACTTGTCTTTCCAGAGGCATATAATTTAAGCTGGGTAAAGGAACAGTTTTAAGGTGTGACAAAAATGTCAAAAGGTCTGGCTTTGTTAGTAGGAAGCACTTCAGTGTTGTAGTTGGTTGGATGAGGGAGTGGGCAACACTAGGCTGCTGGACACTGCCTGGCAGCATTGAGGAGAAGCTCTTGCCACTGGCATGTGTCCGGTATTTAGTGTTCATTTCTGAGAACATGGGTTTCAGCGTGACACCCTTACCTTAGAATGGCAGGTGCCATAGACACCATTCCCCTGCATCCAGCCTATGTGGACCTCAGGCACTAGGTTATCATTTCACATACGTTTATTTAGATTGTTTGGGCAGCAGGATTGCATTATCTCTGCCCTGACTATTGTGCTTATTGATTTTTCCTCTTCTCTGGTCATCATTAACCCCTTTCAACTGTGTTTGATGTCTCCAGTGCTCCTTCTACTCTGAGGAGAAGCAAGGCAGGGTTACTACTAGAAAGGCCTCAAGAGCTTCTGCTATCTAGCAGGCCACACTTTAGCACATCTTGGCCTCAGACTTTCCAAGTGAGGAATGGATGGTTTTCTTCACATCATGCTGTGCATGTGTGGTGGAAGGCCATATGAGCCCTATTGAGGCGTGCATCAGAGACGACACTTTGTATGGCCTCTTTACCAGGACTGGTAAAGGTTTATGGTCTCTTTTGTGTTTCTTTGTTTGTCTGTTCCAGAGTACTGACCAAGATACAAGATCAGTTTAGATCTTGTGTCTTGTGTGAACCTTTCACAGGTGTTGTTCACCCTCACTAGCAGGACAGCCTGTCTGCCCTGGAGGGCTCAGTTGGGCCCTGGTGCTGCCAGGATCCACATCCTGCTCTCCCTGTTTCAGTAGTGTGAAGTTGAACAAGTATCTGCCAGCATCAGTGTCCTCACAGCCTCTGGGAGAGCAAATCGAGGAAATACAGTCAAAGTGCCTCCCTCATGCTTGGAGACAAGAGCCAGCTGGAGTGTCGATGGGTGCCACCACAGGACAGTGGCTGTGTCTCTGCTGCCACTATTGGCTTAGGAGCCAGCTCCAGTGGTGATGGACAACAGAGCTGCTGCAAGGGCTACCGCAGGGAGGGCTGTGGCCATGGGGCATGCAGCAGCAGAGAGCAGGTGTTCTCTGGCCCTGTGAAACAGCTTGCCGCAGACTGTCCTGAGGGTAGTATGTGTTTTTTATTTTTTATTTCCACATTATTTCTTGGGATAATGAGAAATGAATTTTTCTCAAGCTCATTTTTTTGTGCTTTTGAAGTAAGTTTGCCTTAATATGACATTGTTATAATTTGAAGGAGCACTTTTTAACTACTTGGAAAAAAAAAAAAAAACTTACCTTCTTTTAAGGACATTTTACCAAATAGCTTTCTAGTTCATCCTAAAAGAATTGAGATAATTTAGACCATACAAGCAGCAATTTACTATAGAATAATTATCCATTCACATCACCGTTCTTCTCCAACAGAGGTCCCATTTCATGGGTGATGGAACAGAGGTCTACCTGTGCTTTGATCCCTGGGTAGGTAGGGTCAGCTCAGCAGACAGGCTACCCATGTTCCTAAGAAGAGCCTGTTGGGTGACTGGCCCTCATCTGTCTCCTGGGAACTGAGCTCCTAGAATGTTTGGGAAGAGTGCTTTGTCTCGCCAAGATCTGTGAACTGAGCTGTGCCTCTTGGCCTGGGTGATTTGTACCAGGTTGCGATTTGTGGCAAACACCTGCTTTTGTCTCTAGGCAAATGGAGCTCAGTGACTGGCCCCAGGTAAGCCCTGAACCCCCAGGAGTATGTTCTGTTCATGTTGAACAGAATTTTCATGTTTTTTACCACCAGTTTTTCTACTCAAATATTTACCCAAGGACCTTATTCTGTAACCCAGTGTGTGGAGGCCTATTCATGTATTCAAATATATCTGATCTGGGTATAAAATTTTTTAATGGGATTTTCTCTTTTAGACTCATCCAGGATGGTCAGAATTAATTATTGTCCTATATTTAAGGCAATCTCTTTGCAGATTTCAAGTAGATCATAATGGAACTACTTGTTAATTCTGTCTCCTTGGAGAAAGATCAAGTGCCCTGGATAGTGTCCTTGACAGTGGCCCTGTGGCAGCTCTCACAGGTGCAGTTGAGCAGGCTCTGGCTAGACTCTGGAGGCTCACATCTGGTTTCCCATCCACTTTTCCCTTGCTGCTTTTACTGTGTCTCCTCTGTAAGAAGCTGTGACCATGTGAGTTGGTCAGCTGTGTCTATGATCCCCAGAAACACTCTCAGCCAGAACTTCAGAGAGTTAGCGTCCAGCTTGGTGGTCATAAATAGCTTGCATGTCTGGCAGGACATGGGATATTGCCTACTCAGTGCTTAGGCTCCTCCTGGTTGTGACAACGGGAAGATCTTATGGTGCTCCTGAAGCCAGGCCCTTGCTGAGAACCTCTTTAGGGGTAGGGGGAAGGCATTGGTTTAATTGTTGCTATGTTTGTTTGCAGGCACATGGACCCCGTTTAACCCAGTGACTGTCAGGTCAATCATTTGTAAGTATTGCAGACAAGCTCCCCTGGGAACTGCCTAGATAAGCTTGTGCTTTCTGGAGTCTACTCAGGAGGCGCTGGCCCTTGTGTGCCACATCCTGCCCCTGGACTTCTCACCTCTGTGTATACAGCTTTCACAGTTTTTAGTTTTGATTTACGGTTTAACTGACATTTTCAATTTTTGAATTCTAAAGGTAGTATGTGTATAAAATTTTTAAAGTTATTATATAGTTAATTTTTTATTATAATGAATTTTAAAGTTATTATATAGTTATTAATAGTTAATTTTGAATAGTCTCTTATTGCTGGTTTTTATGATTCTCTCTTTTATTTCTTTGAATATTGTATGTTATGGTCTCTTACATTTTAAATAAATGTTTTTATTGGAGAATTAAGTATTTGCCAGGCATGGTAGCACACATCTATAACTCCAGCTGCTCAAGAGACTGAAGCAGGAGGATTGCAAGTTTGAGGCCAGCCTGGACAAGTTTGCAAGACTTGGCTTAACTATAAAAAGGGTTGGGGGTGAAGCTCAGTGGTAGAATACTTACTTGGCATGCTCAAGGCCCTGGGTTCAGTCCCCAGCACTGTGAGAGGGGGTTACTTGTTCAACTTGTCTACTTCACCATGTGTTCCTGACACTCCTGAATCCTTGAGAAGATGATCCATGTCTGACTGTTATTCCTGCTGAACCTCATGCATGGCTAATTTCCTTAGTATTTTAGTATTTTTATTTGCTTTGTGGGTTCGTGTGTGGCTGAACTCAATGTGTGCAAACCAGGCTTGATCTGGGAATACATCCTCCAGAAAAAAATTCATATTTCTGTGGGTTTCTCAGTTTGAGTCTCCCTTGCTACAGAACTTGAGCTCCAGATCCAAGAGGGAAGGGTTCACTGTCACATGGTCTCAGGGAAAGTTCACTGTTCCACCAGTTTCTTGAAGATTTCCTGTTCTGAGAGATGATTTTTTTTCTCTATCCTACTCTTCCAAAGATGTAGTTCCCTTCCTGGTTGCCTTTGACATGGAACCTTGGGTCCTGTGCCTCTCCTTCTGGGTTCCTCTCTGTCTGTGAGCTTAGTGCTGTATTGCAGGGTGTGTGGTGTAAGCCACAGGCACTGCATCTTGCTACAGGTAAAGACGTTGAGGTAACACACGGATGTGCTGGCAGGGATGTAGCCTTCCGCACCAGGAAAGATGTCGATGGAGCAGGGGATGGGGCATGTGCACTTCCCTGCCAGAGGCTGGCCTGGAAGCTGCTGTTCTGCTCAGCCTCAGCTGGGTGGCTTTTTATTGGCATTGCCCAGGTACAGAAGCAGGCTGGAGTGGCACTCACCAGCATGTCGATACCACACCTCTGTACAGTCCACACTTGAGGCTGTGATGTTAAAAACAGCCCATCGTTACAAACGTGCTTCTGCACTGTGTGGAGGAATCTGAATGCTCAGTCTTCACATGTTCTTTGATGATGAGATGTGCTACTGACCTGGAATGGACTTCTGTATGATCCAGGAGCATTCTTCCTATAGTCTGGCCTTAGTCTCCTAAAACAACAGGCAATTTTATCATTTTCTCTACAGCAGCACTTCAGACTGACTTGTTTTATTTGTTAGCCATTTTGCAGTAACATGTAATTGTATTCAATGATTCTTATTATCTGGACCTGGAATTACACTGATTTTTTTTTTTTAATGAAAAATGTGGACTTATTTTTTAAAAAAATTAAATCCTAATGGTAGGCTAGATCTCTTTTTAACTAGAATAGATTCCCCTTGTCCCTGGAGGACTGTTTCCAGCTCCTGAGGGGTGGCAGAGTTTACTCTCTCCTGGGACTGGGAGTCAGGAGCAGGGGCTCCTGGACCTCTGCACCTTGGTGACCTCAGGTGAGGCGAGCACAAGCAGAGAGTCTGCTTTCCAGAGCCTACTTCAGTGGAAAGTGTTGTTTTGACTTTTACTGTGATTCCACCCACGGTCTGCCACACAGCTGTGTCTGCGTATTATTATTCTGGGACCAGGGCTAGGTGACTGTCCCCTAGGCCTCCACCAGGCAGGGCCCCATTCAGCCAAGTCCTGTTTGTGAGCTAGCACATGGTGATCTGTAGGCTGGCCCCACGCTGGCGTTCTGAAGGACAGCTCAGAGACCTGCCTGACACCGTTCCTCTGTCTCAGCACTGATACTCTGTCCCTCTGCCTTAGCTATGTTTGACCGGGAGAACAAGGCTGGCGTGAACTTCAGCGAATTCACAGGCGTGTGGAAGTACATCACAGACTGGCAGAATGTCTTCCGCACCTATGACAGGGACAACTCTGGAATGATCGACAAGAACGAGCTCAAGCAAGCACTCTCAGGTTTTGGTAATTCACTTGTCTTGATTGTGTAGCATATTTCATTTTGGAACCTAGGAGCCCCTGAATTTTATTTTACTTTGTTCAACTTACAGATTTTTAACCCAGTCCATGTGAAATTTCTGTTTATGTTACATTGTACAGTGTCATATTTTGATACTATTTATTGTATATATTTGACATGTAGTCTTTTGTTCAGTTTTTCATCCAAAATGAGATAAGGGCTATGCAAACCTTCAGTTTTTTTCCTATGGGGTGATTTGATGAACAAAATTGAGAATGAGGCTTTTGAAACAGTTTCAAGTGGAAGTGATAAAGTGGTGTGGGACAGTTTATGCTTCCTGATGCATCAAAACACACAGTGATAAAATGACCCTAAGAGGCAATTCTGTAAGTTATCAGCTCTAACTCTCAGTCCTTCCAAACTGTGCCTCAATGGAGAGTTAGAGCACGTGCCCATTCTCAAACGCGCTGTGTGTCTATGTGGCATGTGTCCACATGTGCATACTTCTGTTGTGTGCAGGTATGTGACAGCATGCCATGCTTCTCTTGAGTGTTCAGAGTACTTGTCCAGAGCTCACTCAAGGGTTCCAGAACTGATCTTGGGCCTGAAAGGAAGCTGCGATTTTTACTTACAAAGAAAACACCAAGCTGTTTGGGACCAGCCCGCAGCTGCTCATAGTTCCACCTAGACTCTATCTAGAGCAATTTTGCTTAGTGCTGTCGTCGTCTGGTCTGTGTTACCAAACTCTTCTGTGCTTACTGAAAAGTTGCTTACAAGTGCTCTTTAGGAAAAATATGAAAGATTAGACCACAGTCCACAGTGCTGTGCCGTTGGAGTCTTGTGATGCTCAAGTTTGGTATTTCCTGTGGTTGCTAACATGGCTCTTGCACCTCTCCCCACTTCTTCTCCCAGCATGTGGCTCATGGCCATCTCCTCCTCCTCTCCCTTCTCACCTCATTAACTTGTCCATAGGGCTGATTTTAGGAAAGATATTGAGAACTCACCGGTTGTGAGGCAGGATTTGGACAGGACAACTCTGAGTTAGAATTTGGAATACACACAATCTTGTTGCATCTTTGTGTGGGGGGCCTGGTGAGGTCCTGGCTGGCCTGTCTCCTGGCGTGGTGGAAGAAGGGTCTCCAGGCAGAATGGCCGCATGGCTTAGAGAGCGCCAGTGAAGGCACAGGAGGCCCAGTACAGCCCAATGGGGCAAGTGCCACATGGCGCTGGGGACAAAGCTGGGCCCATGTGCAGTCTCAGTACCACAGAATGTCAGCCTGCCCCACATCTTGAGGCCTTGGAGCTTGTGCTGAGCACAGTGGGTCATTGGAACTCAGTGGAAACATTGATGTGGATGGTGCTCCTCAGCCTCTCAGACTCTCTGTGACCTGTTCAAGCCAAGGGTGCTTTAGAACCTCTGTTTCTGTAGTCGTGGTGAGGGTGTGGCTGGTCAGGAGCACAGGCTGCCTCAGAGGCAGACCCAGAGTCCTCTGGCTTCCCGGGTGCCTTCTGGAGGAGCAGTGTCTTGTGTAGTACCTCTCTGGTGGTCCTGCCAGATTTCTTCTTGAGTTTGGTTTCTGGTTTTCCAGGGTTGTCCCCCCTTGTCTTCCATGAAAAGGAACATGGTCATCTTGTTTGCACAAGGCTGAGACTCGTGTCCCCTGCATCCCTCGTTCTGCAGCTGGAGTAGGTGGATACCTGTCTAGGAGGTCAGTTACTTTGGAAGATTTTCGGTTGTAACTGTTAAGATTTGGCCTTAGAAACAGAAATTCTTGCTCTATTTTGACTCCTGAGAATGGGTGTGTTGCTCTCAGGTAACAGAGCAGCTCAACAGTGGGCGTCTCAGACCAGCCCAGGTGGCATTGTGTGACTCTGGTAGGACCACTCAGTGGATCTGATGACCCTTTCACTGTGTATTTAAACTTGTTAACATGGCCAGGTGTGGACATGACACCTTCCCCAGCGTGGCTGCTGGCAGGCTCTTCAACGTGATTGTTGCTGACTTGAAGTTTGGCTTACCTACGTTAAGCTGTCCCTTCTGGTGGGCAGTGCATTCAGAACCCCTGCTCCCCCAGGATTCCCCTGGGCTCCCCTCCCCCACCCTGCCTCTGGCAACTTCTGCAGTTTAGTTTTTATAATGAAAACTGTGGAAGTATAATCCACCTCACTTTTCCGTCACTCATTTTCAATCTTTTCTCTACATTTGCTCCTCCCCTTTGTGGCTGAAGCTTTCTGAGCAAGTTCGAGGCTTGTGTCCCCTGCATCCCTCATTCTGCAGCTGGATTAGTGGATACCTGCCTAGGAGGTCAGTGTGAGCAGCTCATCTTACGAGGTTAACAGCATTTTTATGACCGTTGTGCCTGACCAGCAGCCCCATCTCCTTTCTCATGGCGTCGTCTGGTTGGTGCCATACAGGCCACCAACGGTTTAACTTTCCTCCTATTTCCTTGTCCACTGGTGATCACTGCTGTCTGTCCAGTTTCTCCCAGGTCATGTTGTGACTGCAGTGGTGCCATGCTATTCCTGGTGGTGGGGCTCATGATGGGCATGGGACTCTGGACTGGTGCTGACCATCTGACCCACAGGCTGCATGGCCTGGACCAAGAGTGTCCACTGGGCAGTTTCTGGTGGTATCTTCCTCATATTAGTTCCTGGGTTGCTGCATCACCAAAGGCTATTTGGAAGTAGACACGGGAGGCGTATTCCTATCCCCTCTCCAGGAGGCCACTGTTGCCTTGGGGGCGCTAGGAGAGTGGGCTTGGCAGGGGTGAGAAGGACTGCCTCACTCAGACCCTGTAGCCCCTGCTTCACCCGGTCTGTCCAGAGAGGGTCCAGACTTCCCAGCGGTGTGCCCCATTGGTATGGAATTGTCCTCTTGCTGCTTCTCATAGGCTGGGAGGCCTCAGGTGACCTTGCCCTTTTGGGTGGGGGCAGCTTAGCTGGAACTGGAATGGATGATGTATGTTGCAGTCAGAGCTGTTTGGTTCAAGAGCAGTATTTCCAGAGTCAGCTCTCATCCTGTGGAGAGAAGGTACTCCCCAGGTGGGTCTGCAAGGTGGCCCTTGCCCCCACGTCTTGCTGGCCAGGCCTGACTGGGTTGTGGCCATGTGCAGAGTGCCTCCTGGCTCCCACACAACCAGGTTTGTCCTCCAGTTGAGCCTTTTTTCCTGGCCTTTCTGTTCATTGCTTGCTTTTCCCATCTTTCTCTGTTCTTGCTTTCCCTGCAAGAGCGCCAGAGACCTGGAGTTGATTCCAGGATCTGTGGAGTTGTTTCTGGAAATTCAGTGTTCAGACTGGAAATTCTGTATCTTTGTTCCCATCTCATTGGCCTTCCTCAGCCCTGGCAGGAAATCAGCAATGGCTCTTGTCACCCCATCCACACCCTGGATCTGCAGTGCCCTTGGCCGTGTTCCAGGCTCCATCCTCATCAGGTCAGGGCTCAGCCAGGGTGCTGCCTCACCTGCCAGGTACTTGATAGGTGTAAGGAGATGAGTGCAACTGTTCCCTACTTGCTCTCTTTCTGATGACAGTTGGGGGTCCCACTCAACCTCCAGGGACTCATTTAGTGGTCCTGTACTTAAATCCCAGCTCCCCCTGAGTGCTCTGGAAGGTACTATGAACATGTTTGTGTGTTTTGAGTCTTTATAGTGAAATGATGAATAAGTGTTCATACAGGTAATTAACTGTGAGATTCAATCAGACAATAGGTGTGCATATCCTTGCAAAGACCCCAACAAGACTGAAAACCGGTAAAAATATATTGGCACCTGGATCTTGTCTCCTGAATCAGTAAGGATACCATGGCCACACAGGTAGTGGGGGGTGAGGGAAGGAATCAGGTGAGCTGCAGGTAGTAGGGGGTAAAGAAGGAAGCATGTGAGCTGTGTCCTCCTTTGCCTCCGTCTACATCTGGTTCCTCCACTTTCCTTCAGACCCTCTCTCCACTGGAGACGTTCTCCAAACATGCTCAGTAAATTGGAGAGGAATCAGGGCTCAGTGACCCTGGGGATTCTGAACTTGGTGAGGCCGACTTTCCTTGTGTCCTCAGTTCCCTGATGTCATGTGCCCTGTCATTCCCCTTTCCTCATGTCTTCATTTGTTTCACTGGAACCCTCTGTGGTATTTTAGCTCTCGGAGCACTCTCTGGTAATAAGCAGCCAGGGCAGCACGTCCTTCGGGGCTTCGATAGTTTGGCAGACTAGTGAGATGCTCCAGGGGCTCGGGTTGCCATGCCTGGCTGCCCTGTGGGGAGGGTGCAGTTAGCCAGCAGATGCTTGTGCTCAGGAGAACGATAGGTTGTCCTACAGGGAGAGGGCACTGGTCTCTAGGTAAGTCAATTGTAGTCCTGGAAACTAAACGAGTTTTGGAATGGTTGGTCAGGCAGTGTCTTTCAGCTCTCAGAGTGCATTGAATGGAGTGGCAGTTTTTGCTGTGGGGAGGCTGGCGAGTAGGCAGGGGGCATGAGCATTGGTGCATTCCTCCCACCTCATCTGCCCATCTTGACTCTGACCTTTCCTCTCCCAGGCTATCGGCTCTCTGACCAGTTCCACGACATCCTCATTCGGAAATTTGACAGACAAGGACGAGGGCAGATTGCCTTTGATGACTTCATCCAGGGCTGCATTGTCTTACAGGTGACAGAGTGGCTCTGTGGGGGCTGGGCAGGAGCAGGGAAGGGTTCACACCAGAGCAGGATACTTGGCCTTACATGAAATGTATAAGGCATGTATAGGAGGTTTTTTTTTTTTTTTGCCTTTTTTGTTTGGGGAGTTTTTAAATTTTTTTTTAAGCATCATATTTATTTATAGTAGTTGGGTTCATTTTGACAAAATCACGCATGCATGGAATTTGATGAACTCCATTTCAGTCCTCTTTCCTTCTTCCCCCAGTTGGAGTCCAGACTGAGGGCACTCCTTGCTGACTCTGGAATCATTGAGAGGCATTGATGGCATTGGGGTTTTAGACATAATGTAGAATTTTGATAATTGTTCTTAATTTTTTTTCCCATTAAATGATAGATCAGTTAAAGTGTGTTGCCTTTGGTCAGCTAAGCACAGCCTCCAGGTTCTTTAACAGGTTCTCACTGAGGGTTGGAGAAAGGTCTGCCGCCTCTCATGCCTCTGGTCTTGGAGGGGGAAAGCCTTGCCTTTGCCTGCTGCTCAGTGTTCCCTGATGTGGGGTTGTGCTTCCCATGTCCTCTGAACATCCAAGAAGGAGGTGCGATGTGCGCTGTCCTTTTGGACTCTCTGAAGTGCTGTGGGGTCAGGGTTTTAATTTGTTCTGTAACAAGCCCTTCTGCTGCCTTGGTGAAGGTCTCCTTTGGGTTCTCAGCAACAGGGGTCCCGCTAGGAGTTCTCTGCCCCCAGACCCGTGTCCTGTAGCTCTGGGGGATGTTGTCAGTTCTGGGTCAACACTCACCCTGGAATGTTAGAAGGGGAGAATCTAAAAGCAAAAGCCATGTCCCATAAGTAAAAATTTTATCAGAATGATTTCCTTCCTTTTAAGGCTTTTGAGGGCTGGGGATATAGCACAGTGCTGGAGTGCTTGCCCAGCATTTATAAGGCCCTGGGTTTTATCCCCAGCACTGCAAAAAGAGTTTTTTTTGAAAATTAATTAAAAAAAAAATACAACATGAAAACTTATAGAAATCTTAAAATACAAATAAAATTAAAAGGAAAATTACCTGTGTTTTTTGCATTTTGTTTTGTTGGGCAGTGCTGGGATGGAACCCAGGGCCTGAAACATGCTAGGCAGGTGCTCTGCCTCTCAGTTACAGGCCCAGGCTTCCCATTGTTCAGTCGGAGTTAGCTGTTGCTGGTGTTCTCTTGTACTGACAAACATCATGAAACAGAGAGACATGTTCTGAGCAATACACCATTGGGAGGGCAGAGCCTGCTGCACCTAGGCTAGGTAGGTTAGCCACTGTGGCAGTCAGCTTTCTTTTATGTAACAAATATCTGAGATAAACCCACTTAAGAGGAAAGGTTTGTTTTTGCTTATAGTTTTGGAGGACTCGGGCCTTGTCTGCTTGTCTCTGTGGCTTTTGGGACTATGGGGAGGCAAGAGTGCATGGCAGAGGAATTATCTTTTGATGGCTGTGAAGCAAATGCAAGGGAAGGCAGGACTGGTATCCCCATGTCCCTGCAAGGGGACATCCCCAATCAACCCATTTCCTCCCACTGGGCCCTATCTCCTGAAGGTTCCATCACCTCCCGTCTTGCCATGCCTGGGGATCAAGCCTTCAACACATGGACCTTTGTGAGACACTGGGTCCAAATTGTACCTGTTACCAACTCGGAGGACTGTGGCAGGAAGACCACAAGTTCAAGGCCAGCCTGGCAACTTAGCAAGGCCCAGTCTTAAAATAAAATAAGGACTGGGACATGCTTCGCATTAGAGCACTCGCCTAGCATATGTGCAGCCCTGGGTTCAGTTCTTAGGGCCACAGAACAGAAAAGAACCAAAGCAGCGTGGCCCTGGCCACATGTTGCACACTGTTGACTGGAACCACCTGGTAGTGCATGACTGTCACTTGTGTTGTGCTAGCAGTTCTCACATAGGAACTCGCAGTGGCTGACCCTCAGGGTGCTGGGGTTGTCGGGTTCTTTTGTCTGCAGAATTCCCTTGTGCCTGTTTGTCTTGTCCTGGCATTCTTTAGAGTGTGTCGGGGTTGCTGGGTCCACCTCTGGAGTGGCACTCTCAGCCTCTCTTCAGGGTTGAGCGGCTGTCCCTCTGCTTCTGGCTGGCCTGGGCCCTCGGGCTGTTGGAGGGCAGGGGCAAGTCAAGCAGGAGGTGGGGGGGCTAGAGGGGCTGGCCGTCCCCTGCTGGGCTTGGTTTCCAGGGTAAGAGCCTGTGTTAGGACTGTCTTCCCTGGCCCAGTTCACCACCAAGATGAGCCCTCGGGAGGAGCCACCCATGGGGATGCTTCTGAACTTCGACAAGCCATGACCCAGAGTGGGAGGAAGTATCCATTTGGAGTCTAGTGGGGCCAGGCCTGCCCTACCCTTCATCCCATGTCCTCAGGCTCCACTGCTCCGTAGACAGTGCTGAGGCTGCTTCTACCTGTGCCTCTGGCATGGGTGTCCATCACCCATGTCCCTCTCAGGGATGAGGTTGTGTTTCCAGATGTCCCATTTTGTCCTTCTGTTCAGCACACACCAAGCTCTAAATGCCTGTTCTTTTCCCAGAGGTTGACGGACATATTCAGACGTTACGACACGGATCAAGATGGCTGGATTCAGGTGTCCTATGAGCAGTATCTCTCCATGGTCTTCAGCATTGTATAATGCACGCCTTGTGGACAGCAGCACATCATATGAGAAAAGACTGAAAATGCCAAATTCCTTCCCTGTAACAAATGGGGACCCAGATGCAGTTAGATGCTGTTCTTCCGTCGGATCTTGTGTAGTTAACACTTGGGGACCTGGCTGTACATATGTGGATAAGCTGACTACGGCTTTGCAGTCGTAGCAGCCACCATGTCAACATAAGAAACACTGGGTTTGCTGGCCTGCTGATTGTGCCATGAGGCGAAACCTAATAATGGTTCAGGTGTTCTCCCAAAATGCATCATGTACTTTCCTCGATCTCCAGTTCTGTAGTGGAAATGCTTTTATCAGCCAATAGAATTTTTAAGTGAAATGAACTTGCACAGAGGCTTTCACGTGCCTTACTTTTCTAAAAGGAGTTTATTGTATTCATTGGAATAGGCAACATAAGCAATAAAGTAAAGGTACAGACTCAAGGCCTACTGGTAGCTCCTCATCAAACAGGGAAGAAATGTGCCCACATCCCCAGCCTCCATCATCCTAGACACACGTGCCTGAAGCTGCATCTGATGGGAACAGCAGGACAGGCATGAGACAGGGAGACGAGGTGTCCCACAGAGGTGAGGCCACTCCCAGCGGCCCCATGCCAAGTGGGGGACTTAGGCCCTTCACCTGTGAGCTTTGCGTGAAGGAGATGGGTGGTGTAGTCAGACTTGTGGGGAGGACGTGAGGACATTTGGTGCCACCGATGAGAAACTGGGTGTCCATGGGGTCCACTGGGGCCTGTGCTGGCCTAGGAGGGGACCTGGAGGGTGAGGGTTTCTTGTCTGTGGTATCTAGTTGTTGGGATCATTAGGGGCTGTGGTGGCAGAGTGGCATTGTAGATGTCACTAGCCAAGGGGCCTGTGGGGTTTCCTGGGGAATATGAAAATTTCTACTCACAGCCATGATGGTTGCCTCCTGGACGTTGACAAGCTGTGACCCAGACCAGAAGCTGACCCCACCCCGGTCCAGTGAGGTCAACTTTCACACCTCAGACCCACGAGTTCAGTGTGCATTGCCCCCTTCTTTGTTAAAGCCCCAGTCTCTCCACTTCCTCCAGGGTCCCAGCCCTACTGCCTTGCTACTGGAGGAGCCTGTGGAGGGTGCTCCCTCGTCTCAGCCCCACAGGCCCCGTGATCAGCCTACTCGGCCTCATCTCCCTGCTCTTGTGCCTGAGTACAGCTCCACCACACACCTGAGAGTCCCTGTGCTGCACACCTGAGAATGGCTGGGGTAGAATGTTCAGCCAGTGGAGATGGTGGCAGCCTGGGAACTGAGGTGGGGCATCCACCACTGTTCCCTGGAAGTCCTGGGAAGGCAGAGGCTTACAGAGCCTACCTGAAGTGCAGTAGGGCCCCCAGCCCCACCCCCCTCTGCATACCCCTGAGCAGGCTCCTGGTGGGGTCTGAGCAGTAAGAACCTGGGAAATGCGCCCAGTAAAATGCATCGCTGGCCGCCTCCTGCAGCATCCTCACAGCCCGTGGGACACCTACGGCCTTGGGCCACCTGGGGGCAGTATAGTCATGCCACAGAGGACCTGCCAGCTGCTGGGAGGGTGTTCACAGCAGCTGCAGAGGCTGAGGGCTGTTAGCCTCCCCCAGTGCCAGGGTGGCTATGGGATGTGGCCAGGACGCTCTAGGCAGCTCGCTCTCCTGTTGTCCACTCAACTGGTCGTCATGATGGCATGAGTGTGGATGGATGGAGTGAGCCAGGGACAGTAATGGACAAGGCACTGGCCTGGAGAGGCCAGCCTGCTGAGACCTGCAGCAAGTCCTCTCCTGTGTCCTCAAGACCAGACACCCTCCTGCCATGGGTGATGTGTGCATGGGTTGGCTCCTTGTCTGAGCACAGAAATGAAGAAAGAAACCACTCTCCACCCTGGAGCTCCCACCAAACTTCAGAGGGCCCTTCCTGAGGGGAAACAGTCCACATAAAGCTCAGGCTGTCCCTCCTGTGCCATCACCTGGTCACCCTGGAGCCCACTATCCAGATGGAGGTGGTGTTAGCAGGTGCAGGGAGGGGAACCGGGGTCAGCATGGGGAGATAAGGCATCCTGTCTCCCTGCCGTGGGCTCATGCCAGACTCTTCGAGCTTCCACATCCTCTGACAACCAGGGGCCTCCCTGCTGCCTGAGGGTGAGTAGCAAGGTCAGAGTTTGTCATCAGGGACCCTTTACCCTACGTGGCCTGACGACACGAAGGTCAAGGGCCAGCCACACTCCTGGCTTCTCAACATTAAGTGCAGCTCATGAGTTCACGTTGGCTCTCATGTGCCAGTGCATGTGACATTATCTGACTGGTGTCGGATTCCTCAGAGGCTCAGGAGGCTGCCCCTTGTGCCTCTGAGAGGCAGAGCTTGCCTGGTGGATGGGTTGGTAAGGGGATCCTTGCCTATTTGCATATGTCTGGTACACATGAAGTTCATCATGCTTACCATTTCTGAGTACACAATCCAGTGGCATTAAGAATGTTCACTTTGCTGTGTGACTATTGTCACCCGCCATCCCCAGAACTTTCCATCTTCCAAAACCGAAGTTCTGCCTGTATTAAGTACCAGCTCCCTTCTCCTCCTCCCCTAATCTTGAAAACCCCTTCCATCTCTGTCTATGAATCCAACGAGTGGAACTTTATTGCTCTTGTCCTGTTCAGGTGTACTTCCCTGAGCATAATGTCCTCCAGCTTCTCCCAAATTGTTTCAGGTGTCAGAATGTCCTTCCTTTTCAAGGCCGAGTGAATCAAGAAGGTGTGATGGCTTGTTATGCGGTCATCTATCAGTGGAAATGTGCAACCAAACCCAGGGGTCACTGAGCCACATCCCCAGATCTTTTTATCTTTACTTTCAGACAGGGTCTCACTAAGCTGCCCTGGCTGGGCTGGTGCTTGGATCCTCCTGAGTCTGGGATCACAGCATGGCCATCGTGCCTGGCACAGTCATTCTACCTTTAATTTTTGGAGAAACTGCCCCACTGTTTCCACAGAAGCTGCACCTTTTACATTGCTGCCAACAGTGTTCAAGTGTTCCAGTTTCCCTGCATCATGGCCAACACAAACTTTGTTTCCCCTTTCTCTCTTCCTTTCTTTTTCCTTTTTTTTTTTTGTCAGAAGTCATCCTAATGAGTATGAGATGGTATCTCATTGAGTTTTTGTTTTGCATTTCCCTAATAATGGTTACCTTGTACATTTTTTCATGTGTTTATTGGCTACATATGTTTTTTTGAGAAATGTATTTTCAAGACCTTTGCCCATTTTAAAATTGGGTCAATAATCTTTTGTTGTTGAATTGTAGGAAATTTTTATATATTTTGGATACTGGAATATTCTCTCCCTTTTTGTAGGTTGCCTTTTATTCTGTTCATTGTATCCTTTGATGCAAAAAACAAGTTCCAAGTTTTTATGTAGTCCAACTTATGTATTCATTTCTTTTCATCATCTTCTTTTGGTGTCATAACCAAGATATCAGAGCCAAGGCTGTATCAAGTGTTCTCCTTCAAAGGCAGTACAGTTCTAGCGTTTATGAGGCGGTCTTCGATTCAGTTTTAGTTAATTTTGCCTCTGGTATGAAGTGAGGCTCTGACCTCATTGTCTTGAATGTGGACATCCAGTTGGCCCTACTGCATCATTGAAAGACATTCCTTCCACATTGATTGGTCTTAGCACAAAGGATGAAGCAAGAATTAAAGACAAGGAGTCAGTATAAGTAGGTAATTGGGTCGGATCATCTGCCGCCGTCTGGCTGGGCACAAATCAAGAGCCACTCAAGCAGGAACAAACTTTATTCCGAACTCCCTTGAACCAAGCACGTGGCCTTCCCCTGGGACACACCACATACCAACCGGAAATCCCTCCTCCGGCTTCCCCAACCAACACGAACTCCCCAGGTATCCCCCACGCCTGTCTTAGTCAGAAGTCACAGAGGCAGACACGTCCTGTGCCTGGGAACTCTGCTTGGGAGACCAAGAGCTCTCTGGCTATGGTCCAGAGAGAGTTCTCTACCTGGGACTGCAGGGGCCTTAAGGGTCATGCCTCCTTTGGTAGAGAACTAAGGACTGTGGGGATGAGGGGCCTGTGCCTCTTGAGGGCAGTTTGAGGGGAAGAGGGGCAGGGACTGAGGTTCCTGCTACACCTATGTAGGCAGCTTCTGCTTCAGATCCCCAGGAACAGCAGTGAAGCCACTCCTTCCACTGGTCTGGCTGGGGAGTGCCACTGGTGCCTGTCCTGAGATGTGGGGCTGTCTCCCACCGAGGGCAAGTGTCAGCTCTGTCTAGGAAGCTCCAAAGGTTTGGGAGGGATTCTCAAGGCAGCCTTGACACGGCATACCCCTCCTCTCTGGCACTACAAGTACCACCACATATGCCTAGGGCCCTATGCTCCGCAGCAGTTCACAAAAGTACACCATGATTCTTACAAAACGTACATGAATTACAGACATTTTGAAAAATAAAAAGAAATTAAAGTCAACAGGTTACCTCAGAGCTTCCCAGTTTCTTCCATGCAGAGTTCACAAAAATTGGATCAAGATACAACTAATGATTTTTTTAATTCAGCAATATTATTTCATATCAAAACCCACATAAAACCATCAGATTTTTTTTTTTGGTAGTGGGGATTGAACTCACCACTGAGGGGCACTCACCACTGAGCCACATCCCCAGCCATGTGTGTGTGTATATATATATATATAGTATTTTATTTAGAGACAGGGTCTTAGTGAGTTGTTTAATGCCTCACTTTTGCTAAGGTTGGCTTTGAACTCACAATCCTCCTGCCTCTGCCTCCCGAGCATTGTTGAGCCTCTGCGGTCCATCGGACAGACCAGGGCAGAGAGGGACTGAGCAGTCCTCGGACTCACGGGAGACAGGCGCTTTCCGGGGCTGTGCGCTCTGGAGGGAGGAGGGCAGGGCCTCTTCTGAGGCCGGGAGCAGCCGCCGGAGGGTCC